CCGTGAGAGGGTGGACTACGGGCTCAAGCATGGAGGGGCCGTCGGTGCCGACCGGAGTTGATGGTGGATCCACTACGGAGAGGGTCTCTACCTTACCATGGTCTCTCTTCACCAAGTCGCCACGTAGACGCATGCGCGTTGCCTTTACCTGCAACGTTTGTGGTCAAAGAACCATTCGGGCCATCAATCCCCATGCATATACAGACGGAACTGTATTTGTTCAGGTAATTTATCTGTTTTTGATGATTCTTAGAGACCTTACAAGGGTGAATTTGGAGAGGAAATTGAATTTCGATGTTTAAAGGTCATGTCTTTTGGGTTTAATGCATGATGGTGCAGTGCTGCGGATGCAATATTTTTCACAAACTTGTGGATAATTTAAACCTGTTTCACGAGATGAAGTGCTATGTGAATCCAAGCTTCAACTACAGAGGAGATCCAAATTGGAATTTGGGGTTCAAGTTCTTTGACGAAAATGATGATGGTAGAGAATTTCCAATCTGAAGTGAAGAAATCACTGGTACAGTGTATATTCATCAATCATCACTTATTCTCATCACTTATTCAAATCCTTCTTGTATATAGAGTAAAAGACCTGTTAGTTATTGGGTTATTTGGGGTAGTCCAGACTGTGTAGCTTTTTAGTCATTGGGTTTTTCTTAAGCCAAACATTGTATCACTCACTTAAGTTGACATATTTACGGGAAACATAAACTTGTTGTTCAGTTGATCTGCAAGTCTGCTTAGGTTTTGTTTGTAGGTTTGTCAATGCTTAACACAGCGCAACATTGACAAATGAATCTTTAGCTTTGTTGGTTTTGGCTAGCTTCTAATTTGTATTGTTGGCTTTGTTGCACACCTAAGCTTGGTTTTTCCTTAAATTTAAGAACTTCTGAGACTGCATTGTAAAGTGCAAATGTCTTTGATGTGCATTCTTTTCCCATTGTGATCCTTGGCTTACTTTCTGGCACAACATGCCATAATACATGATTAATGCATCGGTGATCATACAGACATAAAATTGTTTGTCGAGTGTGTATGCACTTTGCAGTTTCATTTTGGAACTTAAATCTGATTTTAATTAGATTCTCAGAAAACAAAGAAGCATGACATGCTATATGTGCATTGAGCAAGGATGTGCTTCTTTAAGGTCTATTGTACTCACAAGTATGCAGCATAAGCTAAATCAATAGTTTCTAACGTCTACTTGTTCTGGTGTCTCATGAAAAGCTAGCTTCTAGCTAGCATTCATGCCTTTTCTTTTAAGTCATTCACAAATTGTAAATTAGGTGGGAATTCTGATTTTCAGCCTCTGCAGGCAAAACATTACAGGAAAAGAATGTGGTTTTTCAGATTCCTAAAGTAAAGAACATGGTTGGTCAATGTTATTGACAAACCTTTCTTTTCAATGAATGAAAAAACAGAGTCCATCTCTTTTTAGCAAAGAGTAATGATTTCAGTAGACAAAAACGCGGGACAAAAATGCGGGACGATAGTAATGCAAAAGAATGTATGCGGTGTAATTACTAATTTGACCATTTTCTATCATTATCTTCCCATGTTTTTGTCCGCTGAATCATTACTTTTTTAGCAAATGGTGAGGAACTGTTATTGTTATTAGGCGCTAGATATTTAACTTAACCACTCTGACATAAAGATTGTTTTTTAATAAAATAAGAATATTATAATTATAATATTATAAATTTATAAATAATATATTTTTATATAATTAATTTTTTAATTTAAAATTTTAATTGCAATATTATATATTAATTTATTTAATAATATATTATAGTTATTTATTTATTTACAAAATTTAAATTCAAAATATATATTACTTAAAAAAATCAATTTTTTTTTTTAAATTTCATATCAATAAATTATCAATTACAATTTAAAATAATATTATAATTATAAATATCATTTATACTTCTTGTATCCCCACCTCGCATGAGAGGTCCAATGCCCCGTGGTCCATGCCACGTAATGGGATATGATCCATCTCAACCAATCAGAATAACCCTTAGCAGATAACTCGATTCCCCGCAGTCCTGCGCATTCACTTTCTCATCCTTTATCTGAACATCGCATATTTTCCTGCAATTCCAAACCACACAATAACAGTCTCTCCTCGTTAAAAACTTATCTCTCTTTCTTCCTCTTTTGATTTTCCTACACAAAGCTCTTTAAGGAGGAAAAGAAAGTATCCCAAATGGCCACCGTCACCTCCGCCGCCGTTGCTATCCCATCTTTCACTGGTCTCAAGGCTGGCGCAACTCCAGCCAAGGTTAGCTCCACCGTCAAGGTTGCCTCCTCTCCGGCCTCCAGATTTAGCGTCAAGGCCTCACTCAAGGATGTAGGAGTTGCTGTCGCTGCCACTGCCGCTAGCGCAATCCTCGCCAGCAACGCCATGGCCGTAGAAGTATTGCTCGGTGGCGATGATGGGTCACTGGCTTTTGTTCCCAACAGCTTCTCTGTGGCCTCAGGAGAGAAGATTGTGTTCAAGAACAATGCAGGGTTCCCGCACAATGTGGTCTTCGACGAGGACGAGATTCCAAGCGGTGTTGATGCATCCACAATCTCGATGTCCGAAGAGGACCTCCTCAATGCCCCAGGGGAGACATACGCCGTTACCTTGACCCAGAAAGGAACATACAGTTTCTACTGTTCCCCTCACCAGGGAGCTGGTATGGTCGGAAAAGTGACTGTCAATTAAGTTCACTTTGTATATGAGTTCATCTCATGTTTCTCTTCTTTCAGCGTCTCAAAAACTCTTCCTATTTTGGGTGTTAATTAGGTGGGTTTGTTAGGATTAGAGACTGCATGAAGTGAATCTAACCAATGTGATGCTTTGTATTTTTCATTTACTTGTGTAGGTTTTGTTGTAAACTTTGTGCCCCATTTATAAATTTTCCTTGAAACAACGTTTATACGAGATAATAAGACAGGAGGGGAGGAAGAAGATTTTCTCAAAAGTGAAAAGGGGGAATTCATGATATGAAAATCTTAGGTAAGGAGCCGCCTCCACCAAACTTTGAATTCTTTCCATTGAAATGAAGGTTGGAAGAACGTTGTGGAAATTCGAGTCAGTTGATACACAATTTACAGATATCAAATACACACGGAATAAATCAATTTCTAGCCCTGTTAATTGTGGTGAGGCTGTATAATCTGCACTGTGGTTGTACAAAGAGAACTGTAATTGGCCCTTTTTCTATGTGGTTTTAACTTTTAAGTGAAAATCCTTACGGGAGTATAAACATGTGAATTCTTTGGGAAGCCTACTAGGTTGTTAGTGCATCAGGGAGGTTTGAGCGATATCCGAGCACCTTACCACCAACATCTGGGAAGCTCTCGTGTCCAGGCAAGGCACTTACTATGCCATTCTCATCCACCTTAACGGGGTACTTGAGAAGGTGCCCCTGTAATTCTGTGAAGGTCTCAGCTATATACCTCTTCCAGTTTTCTTCAGCAATCTCATTCACTCTCCTCACACAATTCAAACTTTCTGGCTCATTAAATAAATCATCTATCTTTCCCATGTGTTCAGCCCACAGTGACATTCTGTACCCATAAACCTGTCAACATAGGAATCAAAGAGTATAGTCAAGCTCTCTTGTAAATGTAAACAAGATGGATTCAACGAGAGAGCCATATTTCAATTTGAAATGTAATTATAAAAAGCTTATACAGAGCAAAATAGCCCAAAAAATCAAGATCAAAGGTTCAAACCTGGCCATGTGGATGTTTCTTTTTCTGACCCCATGTATAATGAGGTTGGTATGCACCCATGGCTATCTCTGTGTCTCTTGAGCCGGCCATAGATCGTTGATTTATATTGGCCGAACCAAGTATTACATATTCATCATCCACTATCATTGCCTTAGCATGTACATAAATCATGAATCTTTGAAATTTTTGTGAAATTGAAACCTGGAAGTTAAGGAAGCTTTTACATTCTTAGAACCATATATAACCGAAACAACTAGGATCTCCAACAGTCAATTAACAAAGTGCATCAACGAGGGATTTAACTAAAATAGAGGGAAAGAAAGCCTAGGCTATTACCGTCTCACTATAATTTGAAGGCGTTGCGCTTGGACCAGGTGCTTCTTTATCAAGTTTTTCCCGGTTACCAAGACAGTAGAAATTTAGGTAGTCTTGTGGATGTAAATCTTCCATATCCATAGCTTTCAACTCTTGTGCTATGATTGCATACATCATTTGCATTGTCTCTCCCTGAAAATGCAAACACAAATGGGTTATGTCAGAAAGAAATGAAACCAATGACTGGGGCCATTATTTAGCCTCCGCCCCTCCTACAAACTTAAAACAGAGCAGCTCAATCGTTTCTTTCATTTTCTTCTTCCAAACTAATAAACTGGAATATAAAAGGGTTCTTGTCCAATTGCCTGCCAATAGAGAATTTCTTGCACAGAAACAGAAGATGGGACACCCTCAGGCCACATTGGTATGACAATATAAACTGTGAACCTCTCCTTAGCCCTTATCTTGCTAGCAATTTTCAGTGCCAACTCCATAGGAATTAAATTATCAGCACCTAATCACACAAAAAACCAATGGCCATATCAGATAAATTCACATGGATTCTCAAAATTGGTTCCAAGCCTTACAACATTCCAAATTCAAGCATGACTTTTGCACTTGGCTAAAAGACATTCTGTGAAGCTTGTAAGCATGACTTTCTGATCTACTTCTAACGTGCAATCAAGAATACTTTGGGCTAGTGAACTATGCAAAAAGTATAAGCATTAAGATATTAAAGAATGATGCTAAAACCTGCTTCTTTGTAATGTGGCCAAGCATATGATGATCCAATGAAATATTGGTTCTCAATGTATATATAGTGCCGAGCACATCGGATTGCTTGGATATATGCAGTCTGAATGCTTCTGTCTATGACCAGATTCTTTGCACAAACAAGATTCTGCCAATGAAAGAAATATAATCCATTAATTAGTCAAAATACATTGTTTATTTTGTTAATAAAAAAAAGGAAGAAAAAAAATGACTAAACCTGAGTTTCAGCTTGTAAAACATCTTTGGGAAACCCTTTCAAGGATCCTGAATCTATAGATCGAAATACCTGTCAATTTACAAGAACCAGAGAATGTAATGTAACTCCATTGAAAAAAGAAGAGGATCAAATTGTTAATACTCCATGCTTACCTGAACATTCCAGTTGTCAGGATCATCTTCCTTACAAACCCATAATTCACGAGCATCATTTGGAGTTGAAGCAGAAGGGCTTAGTATCCATGAGATGCGTTCTAGCTTGATCAAAGCATCATCATGCCAGTGAGTCACCCTTTTAAAACGCTGTCCAAACTCTGACCATCTTGTGGCTTTCTTCCAACGCTGCTCAAAGTTCGTGAGAATATCATAAGCAGCAGGCCCTTCAATTTTGCAATGTAAATCATGCCACGGTTGCCTTGGAGCCTTAGTCCCTGCCTTTTATTGAAAAGGAATGAAGGAAAACACACACACAAGAATATATTTAAATTAGAAAGAGCCTTTGAACTTAGAAAAGCATATTGAACTTGTTAGAAGATTGGATATATTATGCCAGCTAGCATTTACACATTTCAAATATTGGGAAATTCAATAATTCTTTCTGAAGGATATGTACTCACAGAGAATGTTGGATTGTGAAAATCATCTCTAAATACAGTGTCAAGGTCCCGAAATAGTCTGTGATCAGGTGTATCATAGCGGCCATCACAGAGGTCCAGACCTCCAATGAAAGCAGTAATCTTTCTATTATTTCCAGATGCTTGTGTATCCACAATTACACATTTCTGATGATGGGTAAAGAGGGTTCCAACAACCTGGAATGGATGCCAGAGTAAACACAGTGAACCTTTAGCTCCTTATAATTAATTTCTCTTGTTTTAGAAGAAAAAGATATATTGTTATTTGATAGTAATCATGGAATATGTGCAACAAGAACTGGACCATAGCATAAAGCATGCCTGTTGCTTGAAAATGCTAAGCTTACTGCTGGCATAACGCGGCGACAGCACACATGAAACAGAAGAGCGCTTGAAAAACTTCCGGGTTTCTTCATCATGTGTTTGCATCAACCCACCCTGCATTCAAAGACCTTCCATATAAAACTTAAAAATCTCAAACCAAAATTAAAACAAGAAAAAGTTCAGTAGGCTATTAATTTCATCTTCCATACAAGAATCCTTGCAAATGTAGGTGCACAAACCAACAATAATAAAATAAAATAAAATTAAAAATAAAGATCACTCCTTGGGGCATTGTACAACATGTTAAGAAATGAATCCATACATAGAATATCATATGATAACAGGTATTGAAGTCAATTAGTATACGAGGGGTTCACCCCTTTTGCTAGTTTTACCCGAAGTTCCGGGAGACTCACTTATAATAATACATAATGATTGTAAATTAACAATGCCGCTTAGAATTGTAAATCTTTTTCGTTTCTTACTGCCAAAAAAAGAACCCAATTATATGAGAATTGTCACTTCCTCAGTAAAGACGACAAACGCAAAGAAAAATTAGAAAGGTTTTGTTTGCTCAAAAGGAAGAAATTTTTGAAACAGAACTTAAAATCCTTACCGTATTAATAAAGAATTTGCTGTGCGAAGTCTTATCATCCCAAACTAACAACAGTACTCTTACACCTTCCTGCGACTTGTACTTAAGCAAATCTCCCAGACTCAAATTCCCTCCGTTCGGCAACGGCCTCGTCTGCTCTCGAACAAGCCTCACCTTGTGAAATATCGACCAACCCACTACGTAAACCAGATGATGGGCTTCTAGAATCGCGTGGCAAATGTCTTCCCAGCATTTATCGTGCTTAAAGACCTTCCCGTCCTCCAATTCTATCTCCGGCAACGTCGAATCGTTCACGTGGGCGTCCTGGTACAGCGTTACAGCCCCTCCGTGCCGCACCGGAAAGTAACAGTTATCGATTCCGAACTTGCTAGGATCTGCCGTCATCCCATTTCTGTATGACGGTGTGTCCTCGTACCTGGTGAATCTCATTTCGATTCGAACCGCGCAGTCCGGTTTAGGCTGTTTTCCGTGGGACCCGATTATCGGAAACCAGCCGCTGACCGTGTCACCTTTGAGAATAGTGGTTGCGGAGATGGAGGCGAGTCCTATCAAATCAGCGCCAAAAAGGTCATTGTCTTTGACCCAAAACTCGACGCGTGAGGCCGGGTGGGCCAGGGGGATTAAGAAGCGTTCGTTCCAGACGGGATTTTGGCAGTTAGAAATCACGCGCGTACGCGCCACCGTTGCTCCAGCCAGGCACACCGTGACGTAAGGATCGCTGGTGATGATTTTGTGGTGTCTCCTCCGTCCAGAAAACGGTTTCCAGCAAGCGTCAAACGCGGTTATGAATCTCCGTAGCCGCTCCGAGACTAAATCCATGTTCGGTAACTGCCGGGCCTCAACGATCTTCAAATCAAGCTCGCCGTGAAGCATAACCTCCGGCTCCGAAATATCCTCTCCCATCGTCAACACCACGATTTGAATGAAGAAACCTCGCAATAAGAAACAGCAAAATTTAACAGTACTGAGAGATATACGCGAGCAGAAGAAGCTTTGAATCTTTTTATCTCCTATTCTGTTCTTTTGCTTTGACGTTGGCTATAACCGGAGTAACCGTAAATGCGCGTCCTGTTGAATCGGCGTTAGGTTTAACGAGGATGGTGCTCGGTTTCTCCGACAAAGCCAACGGCAACAACCAAAGGCGGTAACGACTTAGGAAGAGGAGCAGGAAAGGAGAAACTCGATGCGGGGTATGTCACTATGTCGTGATACTAACGATGTTTTTCTCAGGTCCACATGGTTGACCGAAGATTAAGGTAGAAGTCATGTGATTTGATTTACATTGACAATTTAATAGTGTATCAAATATGTTCTTCATGCGCGAACCGGACGTTATAACCAATGATTTGCCTCAAAGGTTTGGGGTGAGGGGTGGCCATGGTCAGGATTTTGAATTTTATTATCGTCGTAAGTTCTACCAACAAGAGATCTAATGGTTGTACGTCTCATTTAAGAGGATGAAATATTTATCGATATGAGAATCTCAGTTGTTAACAACTAATTTCTTAACCATTATCCTTGTTAAAAAAAAAAAAGTTATTTATGCGTAAAATAAGTGGTTTATTATGGTGAAATTATTGTCATATTTTAAATAATTAATATTATATTTTTAATATAATTATTTATTATATTTTCACATTATATTTTTATTTAAAATTTTATATTTTTTATTTTAAATAAATTAAAAAATATCATAATTAATTAAAATAAAAAATATAATATTAATTACTTAAAATATGACAATAACATTACTCAATTTACCATTTAGTTATTTGTAAAAACACCTCTCGAGTTTGGAGTTCGAGTCTTCGATAATCCTCTTCCCTATTCCCCTTGGTATAATAGATTAGATTGTAATTTGTTAAAAAAATGTATTAAATATATTTTTATTATAAATTTATATTAAAAAAATAAAAATTAATATTTAATTTATAATTATATAATTAAAATTATTTAGTTAATATTAATATTAAAATTAATATATAATTTATAATTTTTTATATATTTATAATAAAAAAATACTATTAACATGTGTGACGGACACACACGTTAGGAAACCCATAATCTATTTATTAAAAGCTTGCTTAATTAATTTGTCTAATTACATATTTTTTCCGAAAAAGAAAATCTTAGCATGAACTTTCAAAGAAGATCGGTAAGGTAAAAGCAATTACAATGCCACGCAATCACTAAATATTAAAATAGTAATTCTAAAATTAAAATTATAGTATACTATTAAATAAAAAAATTAGTACATATCATTTTTTATTATAAAAAATAAGTAAAATCTTAATTTATATCTAAAAATTAAAAATTTATTTTATTAAATATTAATATCTAAATTAAAATTTTTATTACATATTTTAATATATTAATATTTAATAAAATAATTTTTTAAATTTTAAATTAAATTTTAATAAAATAAAATAAAATAATTTAAAATTAAAATTTTAATTATTTTTCACTTAAATATATATCATATTATAAATAAATTTTTAATAAAAATAATTAAATAATAATATCTTACATTATAGATTTATAATAATATAAAATATTATGCTTATACCATTTTCGAGAAGATAAATGATGCCGAAAGAAGGTATGGGCATTGTCCCTTCTGAGATGGAAGGGATCTCCCATCGGCTGCAATAAATAAAAACTGCAGACGTCAAACACGCAAGAGTGCTAAAGACTAGTTTGCAATTATTCTCGGATCACGAGAATAGTGCATGATTTGTTTTTCTTACAACGCTACAATATTAGAAGTACAACAACCAATGTTTAGCGCATCCCCTAACAGTCAGACGCGGAATACACGGACACTCGGCCCCCCCACACCTACTATTCAAAGTGCTAACTAAGATTCCATGCAGTTGTAGTTGCAGTTGTAGTTGCAGTTGCCAGCTTTCTTGTCTCAAATTTGAGGAGCTACCCTCACGAACAAACTTTGTGCAAATGCTATCATCTACATATGGGAGATTTCTGTTTAGTAACCAAAGCTACAAGCAAAGCAAAGCAAAGATGTATTCCTATAGAAACAGAGTAGGGTATTTCAGCACTTACTGAAGCAAAAGCGATGCACATAATACTGAAACCGGGAAAATTAAATGGTGCTCTTTCAGACAGGAACAGAGCTGGAAGAGCAATTTTATCATGTCAGTCCTAATTCAATTTGACATCACAATGTAGTAAATTGGGTTTGCAGTTACCCGTTAGAGGTGAGAAAGCCAAGGGAGAAATAACATATGCAAAGGAACCTATGCCTGTAATGATTCCTTGAGCTTTCCCCTGAAAAAAGAACAAAATGAAGCAGGTAATAAGGCCAGAGGGACTCCTCAACATGTGTTAAAAGCTGTCAAGCACAGAATCAAATCTAGAACAAGACATATTAGCTATTCAGCAACCCCAGATGAAGCTTTTTTTTCTCCCAATTTCTATCCCCTTCAACCTTTCTGCATGTATGTTTGACATTCTCCACAGTATTGAACATTATTTGGGACTTGATAAGTCTTAAGCACCATTTTGTTGAACCACGAGAAAATAAAGATTACAGAGTACTGCCTTACTGAGACAAAGATAATATTGAAGAAACCAATGCCAGTGTGCTGCCAAAAAAGAGTTTGATCAACAACAAATACCTGTTCGCAAGACCCAACTTGTCTAGATACGATGCTCCTTATCTGTGAATTTAAGAAGAAAATGATATGAAAGTATGTCAGAGCAAGTTTACATTAAGAAGAAGCGAATAAGAAACTTACACATGGTTGTGAGAAATCAAAGAATATAGAAAGCATGGCAGCTACATAAGGAACCTGCCATTTTACAAGAACATTAGCCATAACAAGACATAACATTATGGCGATTGGTGAATCATCCAATGATAAAACATAAACTGAAACAATGTTATAACAGGCAGTTAAGTTGTAGATAGTTACCCAGAAGGACCAAGCAACGCTGTAGAGGAACATCTGCATCCAGGACCATAAATTAATTAATTATTAAAGGATTGAATATCATCAAATTTTGGTAATATTGGTAATATCCACCTTATAATGACATGTATGGGATTACTAATAAAAGACAGCAAGCTGCTTACATGTGCACTGGCAAAGAGGAGCCCTATTGAGAGTAATCTGTCCTCTCCTATAGCAGGAGCCAAAACGGGCATGAGAAGCATCTGCACAATTGCTTTGATTTGATATCAGAAAACAGTAATATGCAAAATAAACGAAATAGGAAATCGAAATGGCAACAAATACCTGGGATATTGTCCCTGCAATCCCAGAAATCACCATTAAGTCAGCAAACTGATCTTTGTTGAAGTGAAACCTGGCCTTTAAATAGTACTGCAAGGGAAAAATGATTGAATTTCAAGTGATTCAGTTTTCTTAATCCACCCAAATACAATCTATAGTTCATCTAAATCAATACCACACCGAAAAAGAGAGGTACCAATAGTGATGCATGGAGACCAACATCTGCAAGACTGCTGAAAAACGAAACAATTGCTGCTTGTGTAAATACCAAGCTGCATTTTGTTATCATCCCGTCAACAAGAGTTAGTTCTAATTCCTGAAAATCAAGGTCTGCATAACAGTAATATGGATTCTCCAAATCATCCTGTTACTAAAACAATTTTATTTCATTTCCATTCATTGCATCCCAAGCACTAAAGCAACAAATGCTAGATAAATAAAACCACGATTAATTAGCAAAATCAAGCCATATCCTGCTAGAAATAAAAGGAAATTTCACTAACCTGCTCTTTAACAACACAAGCACATCCTCCATAGAAGGCAATGTTTTGAACATCTGCGGCTTCCTAGCTGGATCCTCCCTTGAATCAGTAACACTCTCAACTTTCTCCGTTGACATAATTGGAGTACAAAGATTTTCATCAATGATTGAATCGGGGAGCAGAACTCTCATGTAAACCGTCGAAGCAATCGCCATTGACGCCGAAACCTAAAACCAGAACAGGATTTAATTCTGTACTCTTCTGAAATCCATTCACAAGATAGTAAACAGCGAGAAAGTGAGGGGGAAACCTGGAAAGTGGAGGAAGTGGAGAGAAACCGAGTCGAAAGGTTCCCGCAGACGAAGGCGCAAGATCCGATCCCCGATAGGATACCAAACGCCGAAGCTCGCCGTCGCTCTGGAACATTGTCCGCCTGAATCCATACCCATTTCACCGGAATTGCAGAGAGAGTGGAGGGAAAAGTGTGAAAGAAGGAACTGTTTCCAATCTTATTGGGCCAGAATGACCAGCCCATTAAATTACAAGTGGGTCTTAAAAGTTTAACTGAAGGCTGAAGGCGGGCCTTGATTAAACTTGCCCACTCTTTGGGCTTTAACAGTGTTAATAATTGGATCTTAGTCTTACCACATAAGCAAGGGCGAGGGAATGGACGCTGCCTTCACAAAAGATGGCAGTGACTGTCTTGAGCACGTAATAGGCATAGAAGAAGTTCCTGGTTCTGCTGCAAGCCAATATGGCTGGAAAAAAAAGGAGAAAGAAAACATTTTTCATGTAAATGTTTTTGGTGTCTCGTGTTTGAACTTTAGAACGAGATAAAACATTTGAGAAAGATTAGGTTATTATTGACTTCTTGTTATATAACTAACAAAAAAAATGTAAGCTTCATTATTTGTGATGGACTGCATGTCATGGATTCTTTACCAGTTACCTCATATTACATAATTGGTATCTGACTAGCACGATTTAGAAAATAGAACTTTGAGCTACTGAAAGAAATATTGCACCATTTTGGTACGTCTCCACTCTTTTTAGTGATGTGAGTAGGACATTTTTATTTATTTATTTATTTATTATTTTTTAAAATTCATCAGTTGGTTCTTTTAGGTAATTGGAATTTTGTGGTATCCAGGTGTTCAATTTTAACAGGTAAGAAGGAAAAAGGGACTGCCTGCCAGCTGATGTTTTGTTAACTTGCCTTGCTTGGTAGCAAATGTGATTCGGGGGTCACTTCAAAAATTTTCAACATGCCAGCAGGTAACCAAACTTAGAAAATGTCAAATCTACGTCATTTTCAATGATTACTGTTGACAAGTTAATTCCTTGTCATTATTAATTTCGAGTAGAAATTAGAAACTGCCCCTGTAATCCAGATTCTGAAGCTTCCTCAAGTCAAAAAGCCATTCTTCTACTGCACATCTGTCTATTCTTAATTTTTAGGTGTAGTTAAGTTCCCCTTTTAGTAGTATAGGCAACTAACTGCATGTTCATTCATATATACATCCTTCTTAACTCCCGTCTACACCTACACCCGCGCGCACACACAGAAAACAAAAAGGGAAGAGAGAAAAACAGTTTAATTTGATGGAGGTATGAACGGAATCCATACCTAAAGGAATTATGGTGAGAATCATTGGCAATGTGAGCAAAGCCTTCCTCCCATATTTATCAGAGAGATTACCCATCAAAGGCATCATCACAAACGACCCCAGCCCTGTGATCTGCATAGATATTCATCATTCATCACATTATGATTTTTCTCTCAAATATCATTAATTCAAAATAATTAACAATGATTAGGTAATTAGAACAAATCAACCTTAAATTATGCATGCATGATTAGATTTAGATATTAAGACAAGTGTCAAGTGTGCCAGTTTAATATCCAAAGAAAATGTAAGCGGAGAGAAAGTAACAGCATCTGCACTGAAATGTGAAATGGGATTGTGGGTCCTCGCAGTTTGTCTCTTTGTCAACATACGCACTCATGCTAATTTGTGCCTTAAAAAAACGTTATTTTTCTTTCCCCTGAAAACGAGGGGGAATTCATTTCTTACAAAACAAACACAGACCCTTGTCTACATGCAACAAACAAATTAAAAACTGCAATCCCTGCAAATGTGCCTGAACGAACTTCCACGGTATCACATTTTTCCTTCAAGACTTCAACTAACATAACTAAATACTACATCTCTGTAAGAAAAGGGTGTGTTTGGATGGAGAATTAAGAACGCTAGCTACTAACATTGACATATCTATATCAAGAAAACAGAGCAGGAAGAGATGGAGAGTACCGCTTGCTGCAATCCGGTGAGGTAAATTGCTAGTGCACATTGGGATTTTCCGGGGCAAAGGGCAGACATAGTAACATCAGGGATGAGTGGAATCACCATGAATATAGAGAAGCAATGGAAAAAGATTGTGAAATAGAGATGGCGCAGAGACGATAGCTCTCCCATTTCTCTTACCTCTTTTTTTTTTCCCCTGTGTTTTTAGGCTCTCTCTATCTCTAAATCTTAAAAATAAGACAGATTAAAGCAAAAGAAGACAACTCTTTGACTAGGGTGGCGGAACGGTGTATGCATAAAGAAGCACCTCTTGGCTCTTGGAGTGGACGAGAAACTCTTAAAGAACTAAAGAAGCCAAGAGCAGAGAAAAGAGACGGTGAAAGTGAGTGTGCTTGATTTAGAGTCCGATTGGTATAGCGGTTTGAAGTAACTGTTAATGGTTTTGCTCAAAGTACTAGAAATAGGTGTTTGATAAAAAATTTTATTTAATGGTTTGGAACTAATAGATAGCAGTTAAAATCCAAACTATTAGTTGATTGAAAAAGTTACTTAGGGTTTATTTGGTATAACGGTTAAAATTCAGTAAATATTGGATAATTGGTAGTGGATAATAGATAGCGATAGTTGGTAACAGGTAACGGATGATAATTAACGAATAGTGAATAACGAATAGTAAATAGTGAATAACGAATAGTAGATAGTGAATAACGAATAGTAGATAGTGGATTCGATAAATATAACTATTTAATTATACAATAATTAGCGGTTGTTGTTTAATATTAAATGACTAATAAA